AGGCGAAACGTCAGGAGAAATGCCTCTAGAACATGGCTCTATAGCCCGAAAAAACCCACAAGAACCTTTTGGAACTATACTTTGTCAGGCTGCAGGGAAGCAGGGTCTGGCCGAAGAGGGGTTCTTCTCCAAGGAGGGAGAAAAGGATAGGATAACATTTGGGAGCATGAGGATGGAGGCATGTACATGTGTGTGAATGGTGAGTGAACATGTAATTCCACTTTATTTCTTAGCCATGTAGTTGTAAATCCAAAGTAGTTGCATAGAATCTGTATGTCTGTATGTCTCAATGTTTATGTCCCAAAAAAAAAGTTTTCTAAGATCTACAGAGATCTACAGATCTATAGAGATTTATAGAGACACTCGATGGAACACCCCAGCAAGCGAGAGTCCAAAAGTGGCAGGCTCACACCCAGCACCTCAATCCATGGCTGATACCCAATGAGAGACTCCCCCTTCCTGGGCACACAGAAGACGGGGCGACTTGGAAGGCACCGAACTGTGCTCGGGCACCACGAGATGCAGAGCCAACCTCAAGAAAAGTGGGGTCCACGACATGCGAGTGTGGAGAAGAGCAGACCACTGACCACCTGCTGCAATGCACCCTGAGCCCTTCTTCCACATGATGAACCAGGGAGGACCTTCTTAGAGTCACCCCAGAGGCGGCACTCCAAGGGGACATTGAATGGAAGACCAAGCTTGCAAACTTTGTTTTGTTTGTTTGTTAAAAGCTGCAATGCAACCGTTTAGTTTTCTCCTGAAAGGATGAATAATAACCAATACTGTCTTTCTGTGACCCGTGCTGGGAAGGGACTGGGAAGGGATTCGCGGCCACATTGCAGGAGGCCTCCCTCCCAGTCCTGGCTTGAGAAGTCCTGCCTTCATGGCCCTGCCCCTCCCTCCCAGGAGGCCTCCCTCCCTCCCCACCTCGGAGGAGGAGGAGCCCCCCACAGGCCTGCCTGCCTGAGTGCCCTGGGGAGGGGCTGAAGGGGGCCCCAGGTGGGTTTTTTCCGGGCTATGTGTCCATGTTCTGGAGGCAATTTTTCTCCTGACGTTTCGCCTGCTGCATCCATGGCAAGCACCCTCAGAGAGAGTAATGAGGTCTGTTGGAATTAGGAAAATGGGTTTATCTATCTGTGGAATGATGACTAGGGTGGGACAAAGGACTCTTGTCTGCTGGAGCTAGGTGGGAATGTTTCAACTGACCACTTTGATTAGCATTGGATGGGCTGGCATTGCCTGGGGCAATCTTTTATTGAGAGGTGATTAGATGTATGGGTTGTAGGTTTTTCCGGGCTCTAGGGCCACGTTCTGGAGGCATTCTCTCCTGACGTTTCGCCTGCTGCATCCATGGCAAGCACCCTCAGAGGGAGTAATGAGGTCTGGTGGAACTAAGAACCCAAGTGGGAGAAGGAGAGGAGGAAGGGAGGGAGGGAGGGGGCCCTGCCAGGGGTTGAGAGGGGGGGGCCTTCCTTCCTCCCCTCCCTTCATCTCGTCCCAAGGCGAAGGCGGGCGCCCCCCCCCCCCCACGGGGAGTGGGCCATGGGGGAGGGGACACTCCACCCCCTCCCTCCCCGCTCACCTCAGCCTCTCTCTCTCTCTCTCTCTGTCTCTTCCTCCTCCTCCCAAAATGGCGCCCGCCTGGAGCCAAGGGGGCGGGGCCTGAGGGACGTCACCCCTCCCTCCCTCCCTCCCTCGGGGTGGGCGGGGCTTCAGCGGCGGAGGAGCAGCCTCGTTCCCGATTGGCCGCCCTGCTGGGAGGCTTATTTGCATGTGGAAAGGGCCGCTTCGGCCGCAGGAAGGAAGGAAGGAAGGAAGGAGGGAGAATGGGGCGCCCTCTCCTTCTCGCCGGGCCCTGCCCTCCTTCTTCTTCCTCCTCCTCCAGGCCGGCAGGGGGCGCGCGAGCGAGGAGGAGGGAGGGAGGGAGGGAGGGAGGGAGGGGAGGAGGGGAAGGAGCGGGGAGGCGTTTGGCTTTTCCCCCTCCCCTCCCTCCCTCCCATGTTTATCCTCCGCTGCGAGCACTCCCAGTGGCCCGGGGTAGGGCTCGTATTTGCATGTGGTGAGGTAGGTAACGGGGAGAGGCAGGGCCCCACGGTAGCGGGCTCCGGCCAGACCTGCCACTGCTGCCATCACACCTTGACTCCGATCGCCCTCTCACTACACTGTGGAGGGTCAATGAGGAAGGCGTGATCGACGGAGCACAGCGAGGGGCGAGGAGGGGGGACGGGAGGGGAAGCGGTTAGTGCGCCCTCCCTCCCTCTCACTCGCAGCAAAGACTCCTACCTCTCAAGCAGACTTCGATTTGTCGTGTGGCGCGTTGCTGGTTGGGCGCCGCGGATGCGAGGAGGTAGTAGTCTAGTCTGGAGGGAAAGGGAGGGAAGAAATGGTAATATCGACCCTCCTCTATCTCGGATAAGGCTCCTCCCGTGCCCACTGCCTCCTCCTTCTTCCTCATCCTCCAGTGCCAGCAGGGGGCGTTACGTCGCGAGCGCGAGGAGGGTGAGGCGAGGGGGCTTTGGGCTTTCCCGCACCCTCCCCTCCCTCCGCCTCACCTTTCCCTCCGTCCCTGGACCTTCTACTCTGGAAGTAGGAGCTGGGTTTGATGCGTCAGGGGTTGTGATAGGCTTGGGCCGTCGGCCGTCGCAGCTCTTCTCACCATTGGGATCTGTCTCCAAGTGTGGGATGCGGATGTGCGCGTAATCTAAAGACTAAGAGTCATGAATCCAAAAAGCATAGGATGGTGTAAAGCATCAATATATTATTAAGACTGAAGCATAAAACTCAAACCCAGAGCGATGCGACTAACACAATAGGTGGGAAAATGGTACTGAGAAGGACCTCAGAGGATGCCTGTACAGAAGTGTTTATAATAATATGCTTATAACTGTATTTATGTTTGCATTGGTTGCCCTTAGGCTGGAGCGGCCTAGCTGTTAGGAATGTGTTACCATGGAAACGAGGCAGAAGAGGAGGTGGGAGGAGCTTAGAGAGTTAAGGTTTTTGAAAAGTGACAGTTAGAGTCAGTCAGGGTTTTAGGCTCAGGGAAGAGCAGGTCAGGATTGAGACTCTGAGAAGTGAAGAGTCAGGTTTCAGTGTTCGTGAATAGTAGAGATTTCTTCAGTTAGGAAGCTGAAGGGGAAAACCTTGTTAGTTGCTTTAGTTAGAAAGAACTAACAGAGGCTTGTTAAGATCGCTAGTCGGGAGAAGACTAGAGATCTGTCGTTTGATCAAGGATAGATCAAACAGGGAGACTATTCACTGCAGGGAACACTGGTTAATAAAGTGCTTCACCACAGCAAGAGTTCATAAGTTGTAACATCGAAAGTCTGAATTGTATCGCAACCAAGTTACATGTAACCTTCAATTATTTGCCAAGCTTAACATCATCATACTGCAACCATACGCTTTGTTTAAAAATAAACTTGTTCTCTTTGGTTTTTGAAACTGCCTCATCTCCATTAATTCTACGTTCGTGTACCCAATCTCCCAAAATTACCTCACAACACAAACAGGGTGGCATCCAGTGGTATTAATACCAGAGCCTTTTACAAATCGGTGGCTCCTCTCTCCTAAACCTAAGGATCTTCCTCACTAATTGCTGGTGATCTTTTACCACCTGGTAGCCGTCTCATCATGAACCCATGATGGTGAACCTATGACATGCGTGTCAGCACTGACACACGTAGCCATTTTCTATGACACGCGGCCACATGCGTCTGAATACAGAGAAGTATGGGGCTGGCTCAGGGGCGGCTGAAGCAACTTACGCCTTTCCCAAATCCCAAGGGGCACATTCCTGGCTGTGGGCTGCTTGCTTGCTTGCTTGCTTGCTTCTCCAAGCGGGCCAAAGAGAGAGAGGGAAAGGAGAGAGACAAACAGTGTGCGGTCTCTTTCGTTTATTGATTTCGGTTGCTTCTACCCCGTCCTTCTTCTCACCCCGAAGGGGACTCAGGGCGGCTTACAAAAGCAAGGCACAATTCGATGCCCACATCACATAATAGCAATAAAACCATAACATCAATTAACAACTCAACAACACTTCTTGCATTATAACCATAAAACCAATAGAAACCAATAGAAACCAATTTCTCCTCAATTGACGGTCAGCGTTCGCTATCTCATAGTTCAATTTCCCATTCACATCTCAGGAGAAAGAATCTTTCCTGAGGCAGGAGGAGGCCGAGTTGGGGAGGGGGTGGGCACCTTCCGGCACTCCCTCCTCTCTCTTCCTCCCTTTTCCAGATTTTTCTTTCTTTCTTTCTTTCTTTCTTTTTCTCCTACTAGAATCATAGAATCAAAGAGTTGGAAGAGACCTCATGGGCCATCCAGTCCAACCCCCTGCCAAGAAGCAGGAATATTGCATTCAAATCACCCCTGACAGATGGCCATCCAGCCTCTGTTTAAAAGCTTCCAAAGAAGGAGCCTCCAACACACTCCGGGGCAGAGAGTTCCACTGCTGAACGGCTCTCACAGTCAGGAAGTTCTTCCTCATGTTCAGATGGAATCTCCTCTCTTGTAGTTTGAAGCCATGGCTCCATTTCGTCCTAGTCTCCAAGGAAGCAGTAAACAAGCTTGCTCCCTCCTCCTCCCTGTGGCTTCCTCTCACATATTTATACATGGCTATCATATCTCCTCTCAGCCTTCTCTTCTTCAGGCTAACATGCCCAGTTCCCTAAGCTGCTCCTCGTAGGGCTTCCTCCTCCCTATTCATCCCCACCCTCCCTTTCCTGGCATTTTCACTGCAGTTTTTAGATCTCTCCTCTTATCCCAACATCCGTTTGACCAAATATTCCTGTTCTCTTTTTCACACACTTTGCCTCTTTTTCCCTCCCGGCAATCGCTGTGTTCTCCTTTTTTAATCCTATTTTTGTCTCCACCCCATCTCTCCCTCTGTCTCTCTGAGATCAAGAATTTAGATTTTAACCCCATTGCGACCTAGACTCATCAAGGGGCGAAGAGCCAATCTGTTGGGGAGGAAAGCAGCAGCAGGAGCAACAACAACAACAACAACAACAACATAATTGGATTTCTTATCTGCCTCTCTGCTCAGGGTGAGGTGCAACATAGCTAATACACATAATTACAAGCAATCAAATGCCTATATTAAAAGGCATCAACCAAAGATTTACACTGTGAGTTTTGCGGGCTGTCTGGACATGTTCCAGGAGCATTCTCTCCTGACGTTTCGCTCACATCTTATGGCAGGCATCCTCAGAGGTTTGTTGGAAATTCGGCAAGTGGGGTTCACACCCCTGTGGAATAACGTCCAGGGTGGGAGAAAGAACTATTGTCTGTTGGAGGCAAGTGTGAATGTTGCAATGGGCCACTTTGATTAGCATTGAATGGCCTTACAGCTTCAAAGTCTGGCTCCTTCCTGCTCAGGGAAATCCTTTCTTGGGAGGTGTTAGCTGGGCCTGACTGTTTCTTGTCTGGAATTCAATTTTTTAGGGTTTATACATCTGTGGAATAACGTCCAGGGTGGGAGAAAGGACTCTTCTTGAGGCAAGTGTGAATGTTGCAGTGGGCCACTTTGATTAGCATTGAATGGCCTTGCAGCTTCAAAGTCTGGCTCCTTCCTGCTCAGGAGAATCCTTTGTTGGAAGGTGTTAGCTGGGTCTGACTGATTCTTGCCTGGAATTCCTCTGTTTTCTGAGTGTTGCTCTTTCTTTACTGTCCTGATTTTAGAGTTTAAAAAATACTGGTAGCCAGATTTTGTTCATTTCCATGGTTCCCTCCTTTCTGTTGAAATTGCCCACATGCTTCTGGATTTCAATGGCTTCTCTGTGCAGTCTGATGTGGCTTTACTCACAATTTTTCCCTCTACGTACTGTTGTGAGACCTTATTTCCAGTGTTAAATAATATCAAAACCATCAAAAGAAACAGATTGACAGATGATCCTAGTAGCACTTGCTTGGGCTTGAAGTGTACAAAATACCAACCTTCCATTGAACATTTAGTCAATGAAATTCAGCAACAAAACAGTCACTGATAGGCAGATTAGTTAAAGAATTTTTCCTCCCACTCAGTTATCTTAGTTTACAGCAACACACACAAGTTAAATAATATCAAGACCAACAAAAGAAACCGACTGAAGGATGGACAAAGAAGTCACTAAACAGGTAAGTTAAATCATTCGTTTTTGGGTTATTGAACACAGTTATATATTGCAATTATGCATTTTTGTTATTTAAACTATAAATATTGCAAAATTATGGGGTTTTTCCACGAAGTGGCACCCCACCTGAATTATGCTCGGTTTTTTGGCGCATTTTGACACACCAAGGGTAAAGGTGGTGGTTAATGCCTCCTTACAGGAAGGAAAATTTCCAGCGAGCTTAAAACAAGCTGTTATAAAACCGCTGTTGAAAAAACCAGCACTGGACCCCACTCAATTCGACAACTATCGGCCAGTTTCCAATCTCCCCTACTTGGGCAAAGTCCTGGAACGTGTGGTGGCAACACAACTCCAGGGATTTCTGGTAGACACTGATTATCTTGATCCGGCACAGTCTGGCTTTAGACCGGGACATGGAACGGAAACAGCCTTGGTCGCCTTGGTAGATGATCTTCGCAGGGAGCTGGACAGGGGGAGTGTGTCCCTGTTAGTTGT